CACAGAAATAAGAACTACAGCCGAACCTCGTAACTGCGTGATCTCGGGTGAATCGGCTGCTTAAAGCCCTCCTTCACCATCAGTACCATTTACAGTCCAGCTGTCATACGAGTTTAATGAGCGAGTGCTCGTTTTCATTTGTTGACTTTTCAGCAAACATCACCAGATGCTTGTATCTCCTCCTTGCGTGTCATCATAGCAAGGTTGTACTCAGCTGTGTCTTTTTGCCTCAGGTCTGTTGTTTCCACCTTTAGCAGCTTTCTTGCAAAGCATCAGAGGCTGGCATTCACCTCTCAGACATGTCTCGGCTTTTCTCTTTCTCAGCTCCAGCTGAAACAAGGTCAGAGCTCCTTTAGCACTAGCAGCTGTCAGATAGCATAAAGCCATTAAATGTTGAAGGTGCTCGAGACAGCAGTGGCAAAATGAGCAGAGCCCCGTGTGGAGGACAGAAAAGCTTTCTCTTGCTCTACTTTTCATGCTTCCTTATATGGAAGTCTTAGTTTGAGAACTGGGTCTCTTTGTGAGTGTTAGTCAGACTTACACAACAGTGTGTATCTCACAGCTGACCTGAGCACTAATGCTTTCATGATTCAGTGCTCCAGAGCTGCTGCTAACAAAATACAAGTTAATCTGTGTTTGCTTTCTCTGCAAATGTCATATGCATATGTTTGGGAGCTGCTTGTCCTGTGATGCAATGAAAAAGACTGTCTGCCCCTCCGCCACTATATGAACGTGTCACAGAAATGACATTTTACAGACACATAATCCCCTCCAGTGTTACACAATCTAACTAACCTCCTAACTATTGAGCTGGGTGCTACGTTACTAAATAAAGAGCTGGCATTGACTCTGTCTGGAAACTGGAACGGCAAAATAAAAGCTGTACTGACAAACAGTCTACAGCTGCTTTTCATGAAGCTTTAAGGCTCAATAAGCAAAATGGCCTTGTGCAGAATATAGGATGCTTTAGGTGATCAGCACCCAAGTTAGACTCCATCCTCTGAGCTGGGCCTTTATGTGGAGAATGTTCTCCCGGTGTCTGCGTGGGTTCTCTTCAGGTACTCCGGAGAGAACCCACATGCAGTTAGTGGGGTTTGGTTCATTGGTGATTGTGGTGTGAATGTGGTAGATGGGAAAGTTTCCATACCATCACGGCACTGAATTGGATAAGCGGAGGATGGATGGGTGGATGCATGGA